CTGACTCTTGTTCTCCTAGGAATCCCTCCCATGTTAGCGATTTTTATAGACAGGCTTTCTAGTTGGCAAAGGTCTTATTTGATCTGGATTCATCCCAATCCAGTGTTTCAAAGGTAACATCCCTTTATGCTTCTACAGGAGTCTACCTCTACAGGTAGGAGAGCCCTACATAGGAGACCCCTGAGATATCTGGGACCTGACTAGTGTTCTATAGTTATAAGAAGGCTGTCGTTGAGACACCTACCTCCAAAAAGCACAGTGAGAGGGAATAAAGTCCTGCTTTTAGGTTTTTAAGTTTCTTATGTAAGTCAGCTACATGGACATGCATCTGCTTGGACAGAGGTTCACACTAAAAAGATCTGATAGTTTTACTGAAAACATTGCTGTCCGTTCTAAGTAATCCAGTTTCCATTGTTAACTCATACTTGTGATTACAAGCATAGTATGAGTTTACAATGGAAATTGGATTGCTTAGAATGGACAGCAATGTTTTTAGTAAAATTAGTAGGCATATCTGTATGTATTCAAAACAAGTTTATATAGGAGGTTTTAACAGTGACAACAATAAAACTAAAGTTAATGAAAAGATTTTTAAAATATCCCTAGTCTTGATATATTTTGTCTTCGCAGCATGCTAAACAAGCACTCCTTTGATGTAGTGACAGCAATTACTGGGGAAACAGCAATTTGTTAAATAAACTATTAGGTGGAGAACAGTGGTGTCTAGACAGATATTTATATATCTTCCTTAATTTTCCAATTATTGGTTGACATGAACAGGTATTGCAGCATTATCTATGTGTCAGATTGGTGGCAACATTATCTCTTCAACAAAATAATGAACTTGGAAATAGGAAAACAGGCTTCTGCGGAACATAAAAACCTGCTGCTTGGCCAATGGGTATTCATAGGACAAGAGTCTAGCTAACATCACTGCTCAGTTTGTATCTTATCTGCAAGTGTGTTCATGACTTTAAGAAGCATATTTATTTGAGTGTTTTTCCTAGAGTGGTTAAATTCCTTACTAACTTAAAATCTTACAGAGGTTTAAGAGTAAGTCTATTTGGGAATAAAATGGGGAAGAATACTGGGTTGTGTTCCTTCTTATATTTAATCTAGAAAATTAGAAAATAAGTTCTATGTTTTAAAACATTTCTATCATGGTACCAAAGATGTAAATGTTCGCAAAATTAATAGATTTCCTAAAAACCTTTAGGAAATGTGTGAATTGGTGATTTGATTCAAAACTGATTTATAAAGACAGTGCTTTGGTTAGCTAAGACATTTGCCACTACTGGTCTGTCCTCCCCAAAATGACCTGCATTCTCTTTAGCCTCTCACTTGGTTTTCTAGGGTCTCTTGCTCCACGAGGCCTGCTCCTGTCTTCTCAGTTGGCCTTTCCCACAGAGGTCCTCCCTGGCACCCAGAGTCCGCATTTGACTTTTTCTGTTGCCTCTTGAATCTTGGTGTTGATACAGAACAGTTTTGCGGGCCTTCAGATGTAGAGGTTGGAGGCGCTATCGAAGTACCAGAGAGAAGAGAAGACAGAAAGCTAGAAATAAGATAGGCTCTTGTGCCTGTTAAATTTCAGGACTATTTGTGAACAGCCCTGCTGGTTATGGAAGATAGGAAATCCAAACAATTCAACATGTTTCCCATTGGTTACCAGGGGAGAAGGGAATTTTCTGACTAGTCCTTTAATTATCCACTATACAGATATTTGCAAGAGCAAACATAGGTCTTCTCCTCTGATTTTCATTGTCCTCCCTGGGGCAGCTTTTTGTCTCCCCTACATTCTCCCATGCCCTTTTAAGGCTGGCTGTGCATCACCTCCTGTGGGCCTGGGAATGTGTGTTGATTGCCCTGGGCTCCACCATAAAAGGACAGGCAGGTCCCTGCATCCAGAAGAAAGGCCTTAGTCACACAATTGGAAATGATGAAATGATGGCCAGTAGCTAGAAGAAAGGAAGTGTTGGGAAGAGGCTATAGGAACTCATAGTTCATTGGTGATTTTGCTTGATCAGTACCAGGTGGTTTGTTTTGTCTGGAGAATAACCTGCCTCTGAGGTTTTGTCTAAAAACCTTTTCCATCCTGGGGTAATGGAAGCTAGTCTACACCCCACCCTGCAAAAACAACACTCTTGCATCCTCCCAGACTGTGCACATGCAGGGCATTCAGTGTTTAGAGTGATCTCATTTACTTTATGTTTCAAAAAAAAGAAAAGAATTGTAGGTTCCTTCTAAATTGACTTGTGCAGTCCGTCCTCACTGACCCTTCTCATCACCTTCTCAATCCCCCCTCAAATGCTAGATTGGCTTCTTGCTCCCACTCCTCCTTTCTTTCCCCACCAAATCCATGAGAAGATGTCATGTTATTCAGTGGTAGAAATATAATACTTTTCAAAGCTAGTTCTATTTCACACCTTATTTGCAGTTAGAGAAAGAAAAGCTGAGATCCAATGAAGAGAATGTCAGGCGTGGACTTTGGTCTGTAAGCAAATGCAGCGACCCACAAGCATCATTTTCCACTCCTGCTTCCCTTCGTTCGCTGAGCCCTGGTGGGATCCTCGGGAGGGGGGGGGGCATAAAATCGTTCAACATTGACAAGATCCCAGAGTATGTTTATGGTCTATATTTTGGCCCCACCCCCAAATATCTGTGGCACTGTGAAGGGGCACAATCCTGAAAAGAGATGGTGATACTATATTAAAACTTATTAACAACTTTAAAATATAAAATATATAATAATGTACGTTTTGTTCAGTTGTTTTTATTTCAGAGAGGAAGGGAGAAAGAGAGGTAGATACATCAATGATGAGAGAGAATCATCAATCAGTTGCCTCCTGTTCACCCCCACTGGGAATCCAGCCCAAATTCCGGGCATGTGCCCTGATTGGGAATCGAACCTTGACCTACTGGTTTGAAACTCAATCACTGAACCACATCAGGCCAGCAAATGATGAATATTCTATTGATTCTCCCCCAGTTGTTTTTTATTTGACTACCTGCAAGGTTTTTCTATGGCCATGTATCATTTGTCTCCCCCAGCCCTCTTTTTCTCTGGACAGTCTTGAACGGAATATTTTCATACTGTGAGCATTTTCAGAGCTCAGACTTCCAAGGTTGGAGAAGGACTGATTGTCTTCTCATCTATATATATAAAAGGCCAATATGCAAAGTGTCCCCTCGGGAGTTTGACCTGGAGACTGGGAGTTCGACCACTCGCTGTGACATGCACTGACCATCAGGGGGAGGCGCGGAACATGGAGGGTGACCTGTGGCAGTGGCAGGGGCTGAGAAAGCGAGGGAAGGATGAGGTGAGGAGGCAGGGAACCTGATCAGCCCTGATCGCCAGCCAGGCCTAGGGACTCCACCCATGCATGATTTTCATGCTCCAGGCCTCTAGTTACAGTATAAGTTTCTAGAGAGAGTTTTAAGGCATCAAAGAATCAGCTAAATCAAGAGTGTATACTTTTCTAAAAAAAAAAAAAAAAAAAAACTTTTTTGTTGAAAGTATTACATATATCCTTCTTTCCCCCTCATTGACCCCCTCGAGCCCACCCCTGCCCCAGGCCTTCAACACTCTATTGTTCATGTCCATGGGTTCTGCATATATGCTTACAAGGTCTTTGATTGATTACCTCCCACCCTCCCACCCTCTCCTGCCTTTCCTCTGAGATTCCACATGCTGTTCCATGCCTCCATGTCTCTGGATCCACTCCGTTCATCAGTTTATTTTGTTACTTAGATCCCACATGTGATACCTGTCTTTCTTTGATGGACTCATTTCACTTAGCATGATAAAGAGGATGTCCTTTTGAATGGCACTGGGTCTTGCCAGCCAGGGAAAGCAAGGCCGCAGAGCAGTGCCACGGAAGCTGCTGTCTTCCGGGGTGAGGATGACCTGGCCACTATGAACCTGGTCTCTAGGTGGAGTCCCAGGGTCTAGTCTATTGTGCTACTTTTACCTACAAGTAAATAAATACAGATTAAACCAATCCCAACAGCAAATCTTTAACCTTAAACTTCCATGTTCTCCCTTTAAAATTCATTATCAGAACCTTCCAAACTCACCACTACTGCCGCCACTTCCTCCTCCTCCTCCTCTACCTCCACACACCTGAAGACACACACACTTCTAAGCTTCAAAGACTGTGTCCTGTAGGGGCATGCACTTTCTTGTTATGGAATATTTAATTGCTGCCCAACACAAATTTCTGAAAGTTAATCTTCCTTACTTTTTTTTCTTTGAAAGTGATTGTAGTTAACTTTTTTTTTTTTTTTTTGTCTCTTCTGGAAGGCTTTAAGGAAAGGATTTAAGTGCTCGAATATGTGGGTTTGAGAGACAGAACATGAGCAAGCAAAAATCTGGACAAGTAAGGGGGGTGTTATGGCACTTAGGACTTTTAAGTTTGTCTTGTCTATCCCCACTATACCTACCTTGTGACTTGGTAGCACTTGCTTTTATGTGGCATATTTTCTGAACTATTTGCTGGAAACCTGTCAGATTTCAAATGAGCATTTATTGTGTTTTGGCAGAGGTCTTGTTAAACCAGGGTCACCCTTCTTAATTGTTGTAGAATTTTTGTATAAACTAGAATCTTTGAGAGATAAATAGTTCTATCTTTGCCAACATATATGCCTTTTTAAAATCATTCGTTCTTTGAATTATTTCTGAGTGTTTGATAATTATATATTTGAAGTTCTTCCCGTGGTAAGTTTAGCAAAAATACCAATGTTTCATGATACATACATTCTGGCAACCATCTAATTTCTTTTTAAAATAGATCACTATGATTCAGCTTTTTAGCTTAAAATTTCTATGCAGAGGTTTTTCACATTATTAAAATCAAACAAAAATCCAAAAAGTGGCAGCATATTTAGCTCTGATTGCTATAGCTCTGAATTTGGGTCGTATATATACAAAAACAAAGTACCATTTTTGGTATCTACATTTTTCTTATTCTAATTGATGTTTTTCTTACTATTTTATATATTAGGTGCAGAGGGAGCTAGCAGCTGTCATTGCTTTGAAAGCAAAGAAATCTGGTGAGTAGTCTTTCATGGACCTGAGGAAGGTTTTCATTCTGAGGGAATATTTCATATATCACGTGGCAGTGAGCAGCTGAGTGCACCTCAGGAAGCTTTGGTGTAGAATGCAGAAAAGTACCATTGTTTGTTTTAAAAATTATTTATCCCACCATCAAAATGGCATAGGTTGTTACATACGGTTCTTTAACAATTTGCTGCCTTTATTTTACATTTCAAGGAAAAATGAAATTAAAGATGTTTTTAGTTCATTGCAGCCATGAAAAAGTCTGTGTATACAACACAAGGAAGAAAACACGTTGCATTGTCTATTATAATGAGAGAGAGAGAAATAAACAACACCAAGGTTGTCTTTTTTAAAAAGATATTTTCTATCTCCAAGTGGTTACTCCTGAAAATAACATAAGTGTGTAATGACATCTAACAGCCAGTGTTTTACGTAGGACCGAGTGCACGGATCTGATGCCTCTTACCCGTGGGAAACAAGCGGTGGAAGTGACATGTGGAAAGGCAGCTTTCAAATACATTTTGAAGGAGAGGCTGGCGTCCAATATGAAATGGAGACTCACTGAGGTAGAAAAACACTTGCTTAGGAAGGAGGAGTGTCAGAAGGAGGCATCCTTTGCTGTTCAGAGGAATGACAAACATAAGGGAGACAGATGCTTCTTAGATAATGGCAAGCTATAATAAGACTTTTCAGGCAGAAAGACTAAGACAAAAGATGAGAGATGACAAAATTTGAAGAAATAAATGGAGTGGAAATGTCTTAAAAACACAAGCCATACATTTATTTTTATATCTTTCTTTTTCTTTTTCTTTTCTTTTCTTTTCTTTTTCTTTTTTTTTTTTTTTTTTTTTTTTGCAATTAGAAACCCCAAGAATTTGCTTTTCTCACAGTTACTTATGGAATCACACACTCCTTAGTAGGAATTATCTGATTGTGTTTAAACGTATCTTTGTTGACTTGGCTGCCCTAGAGGACACAGAGCCTGGGTGCTGGGAAGGAGAAAAGGAGGGCGCAAAGAGCAGCAGTCTTGGCGGAAAGGTTACTGCACAGCGAGGGCAGAGTGGCCGGAGCTCCTCGATGAGCCGCATTGGACTGTGGGTAATCCCATGGGCAGAGGCCAACATGGAGAAGACATCAGTATAACAATTGCAGGAGGGAGGGCTTAGAAATAAGTGGTGCTAGCACTGATCTTGGTTCCTGTAATGATAAGGAGACAGAGTTATAGTTTGTACGAATTGGGATGGCAGTGCCTTGGAGGATTTTTTAAAAAAATATATTTTATTGATTTTGTACGGAGAGGAAGGGAGAGAGATAGAGAGTTAGAAACACCGATGAGAGAGAGTCATCGATCAGCTGCCTCTTGCACACCCCCTACTGGGGATATGCCCTCAACCAAGGTACATGCCCTTGACCGGAATCGAACCCGAGACCTTTCAGTCTCCAAGCCGACGCTCTATCCATTGAGCCAAACTGGTCCCGGCGGATTTTTTTTTTTTTAATTTCAGAAAATTGGAAAATAATTTTTTAAAAATCGTGTGTCAGTGCTGGAGAAAAACAGATCAAATCAATAGACAGGGAGGCTGGAGAAGGGGGGTGCTAATTCGCACAGTGTCGGTGGGGAGTGGGGACTAATGAGCAAAGAGCTGACGACAGTGGGAGGGTGAGTCCTGTGGATCCAGGCAAGAGCCTTTGGGCAGAGGGGTGTGAAATGTGTTTGAGGAACAGCAAGGAGGCAAGAGTGGCTGGAGCCAGAGGAACAAGGTGAAAAGAGGTGGGTTTTGATTGACAGGCTGAGAAGTTTGAACTTTCAAAGGGTGAAGGAAAATGAAGAGGAGTAAGGCTCTACATGTTAAATTGTGCAAAGTCGAAGACTGGAGTGAAGTCAGCTTGATTGTGCCTTGATGTGTTGTTATATGAAGTTAGTCTGTTTTGGTTACTTGTTTGATTTATGGAGCATCGCATGTGAACACAGCTTTGGCAAATTCTCAGGGACAGAGTGAAATGGTCTCTCACACATACTTTAATGAGGTGACATGAATTCATAGTGTTTTAGGATAGCAATTTTTTGGTATTCTAGATCCCTGACTCTTTTATCCAGTAACTGCAAAACTGGAGTTCCAGCTATTGGGCATATCCAGAAGGGCATGTAAAGATTCATGTAGAAGGAATCTATCGTAAAAAAAAAGACTAGAATCAGTCCTTAAGCCTCCTAGTAGAGAAATGGTAAAATTGGGAGATCAGTGTAATGGAATGTTGAATAGCTTTAAAAGTTATATTTTGAAGAATTAATGTAGTAAAATGTTAAGTGGGAAAAATATATACAATAAGCATGTATTCTCTTTTTCATAATAAAATAGTTTTAATTATTTTTTCTTACAATTATAGGATAGCATGCTCATTGAAAAAATTTTGGTAATGCATGAATTTATGATGAAATTGAAAAACCATCCATCATGTCACCAACAAAGATAACGACTATTACTCCTTTTACAATAACTTAATTTCATCTTTATTGCATTTATTGGGTGACATTGGTTAATACAATTATATAGATTTTAGTTGTACAACTACATCATGCATCATGTGTATATTGTGTTATATGTTCACCACCCCAAGTCAAGTTTCCTTTCATAACCATTTATCGCTCCTTTTCCCTTTTCTACCTCCCCAACCCCCATTTCTCTCTGGTAATCAACACACTATTGTCTGTGTCTATGAGTTTTTTCCACTATTACTCTTGTCTTGTATATATTTTCAGACATCTCTTTATTCATTTATAGATATTGTAGTATATATTAATATGCAGATACCCAGGTTGCGGCACATTCGGAAGTCAACTGATCATGCTTCTCTCTCACATCAATGTTTCTCTCTCTCTCTCTCTCTCTCTCTTTCTCTCTCTAAGCATGATCTCAAGTAAAGAATAAAGCATACCAGCTGCAGAGTGGCACTTTCTGTGTGTGCTTGTTATAGTTTTTTAAAACTATTTTTTTAAGGAAGAAAAAAGCTGATAAACATCTAATAAAAAGTCTTAAGTTGATAGTTGATACATCTGTGGCTTGACAGAAGGAATTGATTACCCTAATATCTTACATCTTGCAGTAAAACCACTCATTAGGGCTCAGGTGATCCTGCCAGATTTATGTCTTGCTGTGCAGTGTTATTAAAATAAGAATTCATATAAAGAAAAAGTTGGGTGATTTTTTTTTGGTTTGTTTGTTTCAGCTCACAATACAAACAGAAATGAAAGTAGCAGCCAATCAATAAATTACATAAATAATTCAAGGCTCCAGCTTAATAAAAAAAAACAAAAAACCATTTGGTTGTAATCTTCTCAGAGGCCATTAGGATGTACCTTTAAGCAGTTTCTCCTCTAACTGCCAACTAGTGAATGTGAACAGCATTTTAAGGCGTCACAAGATTTTCATAAATGAGCCCAGATATCCTTGTTTGTCTTTCTCCTTGTTGGTTTGCTAATTCCACTGCTAAAGTTGGCTGGTTTGAATCTTGGGAGCGATGTTTCTTCCCTTTTCCAGGGAATGCCCAGCCACAGCACTTTAGCTCTGTCATCTTTAGATCATACGAACCTTGTACGATGGTGGGCTTCTGCTCCTGGAAAACTGAGACCTCATATTGGTAAATCTCTTTGGCAGTTTTTATATTTCATTCCCTCTGCTTAGCCCATGCCTATTTAGATGTTTTAAAATACATAGCTAGGACATTGATGTTTGTAAAAGAAAGAAGGGCTTTCTTCTGTTTATGCTATTAAATGTCTCTGGAACCTTAGCAAAGTGATTCCAGCTTGTGTCTTGGGGGTAAGGGTGGGAGTAAGGAAGGATTGTGTAGGATGTGCTAACCTTAGAGATTCCTTCTAGCTCTAACGTTTAATCATAACAGTGAATATTTTTATTCATTACCTTCATTATCCTTAATGGAGTTACAACCCTAGGGATATTTTACACAGGACTCTTTGAGGTGCAAATGATAGAAAAGCTGGAAACCAGAGAGGGGATTGATTGGCACCAGTATATTTTATTGTTTCTTTGACACATTAAAATATATATAACATAAAAGAGAATAAAATGGTTTATCTGTTGCATTTAGTTTGGGCTTTTTATAAATGTTATATATTTCTTCTTTTTAACCTTCACCCGAGGACATGTTGAGAGAGAAAGGGAGGGAGGGAGATCATTGATCTGAGAAACATTTGTTAGTTACCTTCCATAAGCTCCCAGACTACAGATCAAACCCATAACCCAGATATGTGACCTGGCCTGCAATCCAACCAGCAACTTTCTGTGCACAGGATAATGCTCAACTAATGGGTCACTTGGGCCAGGCTATACATGTTATTTTTAATGGGCAAAATGCTCTTTTTAATGAGCTAGAAAGGATAAGGGGGCCTTCAATATTTTACTTTGGAGTTAAATTGTTTCTCCTAGCCTCAGACATCACTTATTTCATCATCATGGCTTGAATCCTATATTTAAGCTTAACGAGGCATTTGAATGTTTGTGTGATTTCAGCAGCCGGGTTACTACTGTTTGCACACATTGAACTCTGTGTGTGTGTAGCACATTCAAGGAGGCCGTCCCTGGGTCTGGCATTCATGGTGGACCCACCAGGCAAATGGAGCATCTTTTATGACCCTAATATTGTGCTGAAACTCCCAGTTTTTAATATCCAGTGTTAGTAACAATCACTGGTCACCATCAGCACCTCCTAGGAGATTTTAGCAGTGGTAAGCCCTCTTCTTAAGTGTATGTAGGATGGGGGAATGCTGACAAGAAGCTCTGTCTAAGGTTTGAGGTCTGACACAATTGACAAGAGAGATTCTCCCTCAGGGTGGAAGCATTCCAAAGAGAAGATTTTCATGTGTCTTTGTCATGAGAAATGAAATAGATGGGCTGGTTATTTTTAACAGTAGAAAATAAGGCCGTTTGTTTTGCACATGTAGGAGGAAAAAATAAACATTACATGTATGGAATTGCTC